TCAGTGCTTTGTCCCTTTTAGCAGAGGCTGTAGCCTGCTTAAAAGTTCAGGTCCATCTTGCCCTGAGTCCAGCCATCTTGGTCTCCAACAAATTTTCCTTAGGCAGGCAAGTTCTTTCTGAACAGATGCTAAAAGTTAATTCACATGCATGTCCACCCATAGCAGAGGCCACACAACTCTTACCTTACCTAGGAGACTTGCCATTCCTGAGAAACTCTAATGGCCTCTGCTGAATGTCTTGGGATCTTAGTGCAGGGGATTACAGAGGAAACATGGCTCTTGAATGAAGGCTTAATGAATTTGTAAAAGCAACATGGCAAGCCTGAATCCAGACATGAGACACGACTAAAGACTGGAAGCCACAGAATAAAACTCACCTTTGGAGAAACTTCATCAAGTCCCAATTCTATTCTTTAAGATAAGGTGAATCAAAGCCACCTTGGCAATCTCCTTTGAAACAATGGGCTTTGTTTTTCAGGGAATCCAATGCATGCCACGAAATGGACACAGGGACCAAGAATCCTTTTAATCTGGGTTGTAGATTTCCAGTGTAAATCTGTATCATCTGTATACAGAGTGACAGTAAAGACAAAGTGGACAGAAAACGCATCTCACCAAAACCTCTGTTGATTCCCTCATCTGTGGTAGAAGGTGACTTTCATTTGGACCTTCCACAACACCTTGCACACAAAGACTCATGTAGAGCACATATCTACACTAGTACCCATCAAGTTTGAATTATTTTATTCATATCTATTTAAAGAAGCAGGAACCTTCCTTGTGGTAGAACCTGTGAAAACCAGGCAGCAAAAAAGAGTGTCAGCCCTCTGTGCACTCCGGATTCTGTTTCTTTTGTGATGTCTCACTCCTGTTGCTGCTGCAAGGGATCGATATCTGCTAATGTTGTGTGGTCAGATGGAAAACACAACTGTGATTTGCTCTCCACAAAGATCTCAGGTGTGGTGTGGACCACAGAAGACAGTCCATCTGAGAGCATACTAGAGTTCCAGCTAGATCTCAAAATCCACTCCACTAACAAAAGTGTGTGCTAAAAAATGGGCAAGTGTTGGGCCATGAAAATTCCTCTATGAGATCAAAACAGGAACTACTGCCACTATGGCTTCATCCACAAAAGACTGGCCCTCAATGTCCAGCAGAAAACCACATGGAAGTTCAAAGCAGAGCTGAGGATGTGGCCAGTGAGTCACACAGCACTCTTTGGAGTACCATTCCCACTGATAATCAGGTGGAGCTCACTTACACATCGCCGTGCTAGGGAACAGCTCTACTCTGTAGCACAGCATACTCCTTACATGGTCCCATCTGAGCAGATACAAGGAATCAGAAGCAGTTGGAAGACACCAACACAAGATGAACATGGGGGGAGGGTGGGATAAGATAGGCTAGAGCACTCTGCCCTAATGGTCAGTCACCCATCAGCCTATCAGCCTAGAGAGTGAGGAAACACCCATCTCATCCTGCCTTTCAGGAGTTGGAGAGGCTCCTTAGCAGATGCAGGCCTAACCCTGACAAAGTATACCTATCGGCACACAGGAGACTGTTCTAGAAATTCCTACAATTTTGTGCAATTTGAGAACTCTTCCACACCTTGACTGAGCTCCCTCTCACAATTGGTTGTCAGTCAACTGTGACATCGCATGACAAAGAGAATGATGACCTCAGCAGGTGGTTGCCCCAGTACCCACACTAGAACTCAGTGCTCACTAATCGTTGGGCATCCCTACTAGAAGCCAACGCAGCACAGTTTTGGCTCTCTTGGGGCATGAGTAGTGGTCTTTAGTACAGTATACTCCTGATGGCAGTGTGGCACTATGACTAGTCAGAGTGTGGGCAAGGACTGCACACCCGAGCTGGACCCACCAGTTAACCAAGAGCCAGTAAGAAAGGTCACACCTAAGTCTTCACCTGACCGAAAGGTGGATTCAGCAGATGATCTGAAGAGTCCAGGTGACCAGGTTGTGATACCAGGTCGAAGTTTCCAAGACAACCTTCCCCCTGAGGATCAAAGCCAACCTATCACCACTAAGGAAGGCAACACTAACCTGCAGAATCTGTTCTTCCCTAAGAAACTCTGGACCATAATAAATGACGAAACCTTTACATCGGTGAACTGGAACCACAATGGAGACATGGTGGTTGTTAAAGAAAATATATTCCAGAGGGAGATCCTTAACCGGAGTGGAAAAGACAGGATTTTTAAAACAGGAAGAATGAAGAGTTTCATTCGCCAGCTTAACCGATATGGGTTCAAACACATTAACCCAGAGCACACTATGACACAATCTGAAGAAAATAGAATGTTGGTAAGGTACAAAGTTTATGCCTCCCATTTTCTGTGATGAGAATACCTACATAGGAACTGGAAAGGTGGCTCAGTGGTTCAGAGCAGTAGCTGCTCTCCCAGAGGACCCAAGTTCAGCTCCCAGCACGCACATGGCACCTCACCACATGTCTTTAACTCCAGCTCCAGGGGATCCTATTCCCTTTTCTGGTCTCTGAAGGAAAACATGTGACATAGTTACATACATGCAGAAAAATTCACAAGAAAGGTAAAATGTTTTTTAATATGTCTTCATAGTTCTCATGGATGGAATGATGTGTAAGTTCTTATACACCAGAGATAACTGTCCTATGGAGACATACTATTTTCTAAGTGAAAGTATGCGTTTTGATAGCGTAGACTGAATTTAAACCACATACTGCCCCCTTAGATATGTGCAGGCAGGGAAAAGATTCTAAGAAGCTAGGTCAGGTTATGTGTGTATTCCCATCTTAACCCACTGTTAAGAGTTGTGCTGTAGGATAAATAACTCTTACCAGTATCTTCATTTATTATCTCCATTACAAAATGACCAGTATAATAGGGTGGGGCCAACGTATGATGTATTTTAAAATGACTAACATTTCCTTTTGGTTTAGATGTACCAAAACTTCAACTTTCAGAGAAACAAGCCAGAGCTCCTCAAGAATATTTCAAGAAGAGATGAAATCAGAAACTCGGTGAGCAAATCAAAAACCCCACACACAAGTGCTAATAAGCAAGAACCACGCTCAAAGAAAATGAAATTTGTACCTCCCAGACATTCCATAGGTTTACATAAGGTGGAGGAAGAGGACATGAATTCCCAGCAGGAGGTGCCCAACCATCAGGAACGTACAGGCAACCTTTCCTTTGTGTCTTCTTGCACAGGCAAAAAGAGAGAAACAGTAAGGATCCTGGACTATTGTTCCTCTAGTGATAGAAGTAGACCATGTAGGGAGAACAGATCTGATAAAGTCACAGTTTTTCTTCCAGCTACTGGTGAAGTGAAACGTGTATGGGATGTGTCCACTGGCTCCTCAAGACATCTCACATTTGATCATGTACTGTCTCCGTACAACACTTGCTGTTTCATGCTTAGGGTTGCACACTCAGTCATAGTCCAAAAGGAAGACACTGATGAACCAGAAGTGGAGGAGGATGGGGAGGTGGTGATGGAGGAGGAAGAGGAGGAGAACAGGGAGGAGGGAGAGGTGGAGGAAGAGGATAAGGGGGTGGTGATGGACAAAGAAGAGGAGGAGGAGAAAGAAGAGGAGGAAGAAGAGGTGGAAGAAGAGAAGGAGGAGCTGGTGGAGGAAGGGGAGGAAGAAAAAGAGGAGGAAGATAATAATGTTGAGGAAGAAGAGAAGGAGGAAGAGGAGGAGGAAGAGGAGGGGGAGGAAGAGCAGGGGGAGGAAGAGATGGAGAAAGAGGAGGAGGAGGAGGACAAGGAGGAAGAGGAGGAGGAAGAGGAAGAATCACCAAGGAACAAGTTTGTACTCTGTAGACTATTGAAGGTCGAAATTAAAGAAAACCTTAAGGACCACTAAAGACTGACTGAGATAAATCAATATTTTTTT